AAGGTGCACAATCATCAGAGGTTCCAAATGCTGATTCTCCAACATTGGAACCCAAACATACAGACTGTCAAGAGGACAAGGAATCTGTGGCTATGAAGCTCAGGGAGCTAGAAAAGGGAATTATGTAGGTAAAATTATTAACTACAATATATTTACATATTTGCTACAATTTATCTATATTGCATAACATTGTTGTTAAATTATAGTATAACTGTATCACTTTGGAGACAATTGTATAAACAATACTGCCTCATACATAATTAAACTAAATTGTAATTTATTTGAATAAAATTACCAACTAACTATATTTTTAACTTTTAGGTTGATGGAAAGTTAGAGGATTTTAGGAAGGATGTATTTAAGGAACTCCATGACCTTCGAGTGTTTATAGATGATTCTATGAAGAGGGTTTTGAATTTGATAAACAGGAGATATGATGTGGATGAGGCAAAGGTAAGAGTTGATATATATTTATATGCCAAAACAAATTATGACATTTTAAAAAATATAATCAAACTAACATAAAATCTTTAGTTTGCTGGTAGTTCAACCAAAAACAATGACCAAAAACAAGGAGTGAACCACCAGCAATTTTCGTTCAATCTTGGTGATCAAGTGCATGCAAGCACAAGCAACACAAGTATCTACAAAATACATACAAATATATATACTTATTATAAAACTTTATAGAACTGAGTTTTATTATTCACAATTTATCTACAACTTCCTACATGTATCTGCAACTTTCAAGGCAGCATTATCTAGTACTTTTTTACCTATTTTTTTTTTATATAAATTGAAGCTGCAGTTTGTCCAGGACATGTTGACTTATATGGAGAATTTCAAGAAACAGCTGAGGTAGAACAAGCAGGTATAATATCATACTGTCATTCAGAACAAATAATTGTTCTTTATACAATTTTACATTCCCTGTTAAGTAAGTATTGTTTTTTGTAACAAATATTGAAGATATCAATGCACAGTCCCCAATTCACGGAGTGACTGTAGCAGCTCAGACAGAACAAGTCATTGAGAAACAGCTAAATGAAGGTGAAAATGTACATCATGTGGATGAAGTTGTTTCTGAAGGTTCAGGCATTGATAAGAAGCGTGTGACATTGGATGACTTTGAGTTGCCAGACAACTTAACACAATTGGTTAAGTATGGTGAGCCCATACCAGATGAAGCAACCCCTATTCATCTGGGGAGAACCAGACAACCGGGGAAACATGCACGATCACCTTTCATACCGCTATATAGTTCTAGAGGCAGCAACTCTATTGGACCTAAATTTTTCTACCTCAAGCACCCATTCACAACTCTTATAGGTGAAAATGTAGATTTTGATATGTTAGATAAGTTCAACAAGTGGTTATACCACCGTACTGACAAAGTATCTAAGAGGTATGAATGCTTAATTTGACACTTTCATTTCAGCATTTTAAAGTTAAAAAATGTAATTCATTCTGTGAATTTTTTTGATTGGCCATTTATTTGTTGTTACAGGAAGAAGGCTCCCTTTTCCATAAAGGATAACCAAATCAATCCTTGGTTAGACCTTGGAGTTGAAAAGGTAGATAAGAAGGACTGGTTTTATTCCTTTTCTCACCCCGGGGGAGTCCTCAATGACTCGGTAAGTATCAAAGAATAAATTCACAAGATATATTTTTACTTCTGTTTTGTAGTTATATTGTAGATATGAAATATATGTGACCATGCCCTTTATTATAAATTGTAGATATAATGTAGACATTTCTTATAAATGTTGCTCTTATTTATTAAAGTGTGATTGTATCTAGGTTGAACCTTATGTATCATATTTGATGATGAATTGTATGTAAAAATTGTATATTTATTAATTTGGACAGAATTGGTATATCTATATTTCATGGTTGTAGTTAATTTGTAGTAAAATTGTAGAGCCAGTTGAAGACTTATAATATTAACTTTAGTTTGCATGTAGATATTATTGAGGCTTTTGTGGTAGTTGTTGTTCCATGTGTTGTTGTGTATAGCAGTTAAAGTGTAGTTATTTGTTAGATTATTTGAATTCTGAGTTTGTATTTTAAGGTGTAGCTGCTTTGTTGATAATTGTAGTTACATTGTAGCTAACAGTAGATTTCATTTTATTTTGCAGCACATTGATGTTATTATGTATTACCTGAGAAAAAGAGGCAAATATGGCCCCAACCCCAACAACACTAGGTTTACAACAACCGATTGCTTGTTCAAGTCAAAGATTGTACAAATCTATGACAAGTTCATAAGTTCTCCGCCAGAAAAAAAGTATTCGGTTATTAAACCCGATGATGATGTTGCAGAATATATTATTGGGTATAGACTCCTTGCTAATGTTGCCTGGGATGAAGTTGACTATGTCATCATGCCCGTGAACATTGTAGAGAATTTCCATTGGTTGTTGATCGTTTTCGACATAGTGGACAGGCAACTTTATGTGTATGATTCCATGGTGTCTTCACACAATCATGATGCTGTTGAATCATGTGTTGATAAGTTTTCAATCATTATCTCTCTGTATTTTTCTTGCACTGGTTTCTACGGGAAGCGTAAAGACATTGACTTCAAGACCACAAAGGCATACATTGAGAAACCAGTTACAAACCCTCTCAACATACAGTGGATGGTTGCAGAGATTCCACAGCAAAAGGAATGATCATTGTAAAAAAACCATTCTCTCTTTCTGGATGTTTAATTATTTTTTTTGTAATCATTTGTTAAATAATTAATTTTCTTTGTCTTATGCAGCGATTGTGGTGTATTTGTGGCTGCTTTTGCGGAGTATGTTTGCATTGGAGATTTGTCAATCCCTTCAGAAAACCTTTCGGATATCGACCAACACCGTAGACGCTATGGAGCTCTCATATGGGACTATGCTACAAAGAAGCAAGAAGATGGGTCAATCAGTGAAAGTGAGGTTACAGGCAGGCTAGCAAGGAGGAAGGGTACTCCTGCATTGAATGAGAAGACTAGAGTCTAGAGAAAGAAGAAATAGTGTCATGTTTTCCTAGTTTAGTTGATGCCAATTTGTAGTTGAAGGAGAATACACTACTTTATGAACAATTTTTTTTTATTGCAGCATACCTTTTTGTTTTGTAATTTTATCTTTCATCTTAGAATACAATTTGCCTACAAATAATCTCCACAATATCTACATTTTGGCAACACTCAATGTAGTAATTGTATATAATTTTGTAGTTGTATATGTTCATAATTTTTATGAAATACCTTCAAGTTCTAGGTAATATCTGTATATAACTGTCAGATGAAGTTAAATTACACAACAAACAGAATAAATAATTACTCCAATCATAAAAATATATTACCCACAATTTATCTACAAATCATCTACAAATTATTACTAAGACTACAATTTAAATATAGTTAACTTATATTTTACCTACAATCTGGAAACACTTTACATTAAAGTTATTTTTTTTAATATCAGTTGTATTGTAGATAATAAATATTTAAATTTAATTACACTCTATCAAAGACAAATTTAGATGCCTGATCTTTAAAAACAAATGTAGCATATTAAACAAACATAAACAAATTTTAGTCTACTTCATAATGATATTTAAAAACTTAAACTATTACACAAAAAATCTGCTAACTTTAACTCACTAACAGTTATTTTGAATAACTATTCTAACTACATGATATTCATTTCTTCTTGGGCGCATTCTTGCAAGATCTTTTGTTATGCCCTTCACCTCCACAATTTCCACATGACACCTTGTACTTCTTTGACTTTATTTCATCATAGGTTTTATATCTTTCCTTTTGAGGTCTCCCTGGCCGTCTTTTATCTCCCGTCGGTGGTTTTACTACCTCATCCAAAATATGTTGTGGCACATTCGATTTGCTTTCATCAGGAAGAGGATTTACTGGCATTTCATATGTACGCAGAAGGCTCTCCCTTGTGTAATACGGAGAGCAATAGTTTTCATCTGTTTCATTCATGTGCCTTAATGTTGCCAAAGCATGCGCACATGGAAGTTCTTCAAGTTGGAATTGGCCACAGCTACATTTATTGTTTTCTAGACACACAATGTACCGCTTCACACCATCTAACACAGTATGTATATGATCTGTTGAAGCCCTCACCTACAATTGCAGAACAAACAGAAAAAATATTATCTCAATCATAAAAATTTATTTTCTACAACTTATATACAAATCATCTACACATATTCTACACCTTATATACAATCTACAATTATCTACAATTTTGACTACATTTTATATACAATCTGGAAACACTGCATATTAAGTAATTCATTTTTTCTGCACCAAATAAACAGATCTTACCCTAAGTTTCTGAGATAATGTTCTGTTGTCATCTAATTCTTTGTTGAATTTGGTCCCAAGAAATGTGAAAGTACCCTTCGCCTTCAATAACTTCTCAATGGTCCAACGTTCTAGCAGTGTCCGTATATACTCTAAAAGGTCAAATATCGGCAGCTCTCTTGCATCTTTTGTTACTGCGTTCAACGACTATGCAATATTTGATGTCATTGTCCACGTTCTAGTCACTGTTGCATGTACTCTTGACCATCTATGATAACCAATATCATATAGGTAAGATTTCACACGCGGGTTTACCTCTTCAATCTTCGACATCCTTTCATTAAATTCATCTAGAGTGTATGACCGTGCTGTAGCAAAGTACAATTCATGCAATTGTAGATGACCCTTCTTGAATTTTGACCTTATATTTGTCCAAATATGCCACATGCAAGAGTAGTGTGGGATGCCCGGATAGACAATTGATGTTGCCTTCAGTATACTCGCATTCCTATCTGAAACAACACACATTGAAGGTCTTTCACCATATGCCTTCTTGAATTGCTCAAAGAACCACTTCCAAGATGCGTCGTTTTCAAAATCAACCACATCATATTCCAAGAGCAATATTGTTCCTACATTATTAATTCATAAAATATTAATTGGCAGCTTTGAAAATTTATATAAAAATATAAATACATAACAACTACAGTATATATTCATAATATATTCATTTTATCTACATTACATGTAATAGCTACAAAATAACTACAAATTACTACAATATATCTATATTTTATAGACTGCCTACAAAATGACTACAAAATTTTTACACTGTTTACCTGCTGCATCCATGGTGCTTGCTGTCAGCATAATCCCCCTGTAGGCTGACTTTAAGAATGTCTCATCAACCACTACTACTGGTATACAATGTTGACAACCACTTATTGATGTATAAAGAGCAGCAAATGCGTATAAGAAACATTCATCTGCTGTCTTTTTCAATTTAACAACCGAACCAGGATAAGTCTCCTCAAGAATATAAAAATATTTGGGTAATTTGCTGTAGGAGTCAGCCGGATTCCCTCTCAAAAACTGAAAAGCCTTTTCCTTTGCTCTCCATGCTTGCATGTAGCTTAGGTTCACTCCGTGTTCGGATAACATGTCAGTCTGTATGTCCTTTGATGTGTAAACAGTCTTAGGATCACAATACTTTGGAATTACCATGCTACCAACTACATCTGCAGTACGTTTGCGCTGTATGAATGTTTCATTCATTAGGCAGCATGTGTGTTGTCGGTTGAAACTCATTATCTTGAATATTGCGGAATCATTAATTGACGTTGCCTTGAAGTGCCATTTACAGTTTTCACCAACGCATACAAGCCAGTAGCTACAAAAAGAAATACAATATTTAATACAGATTATAAATGTAGATGCAACAAACGGACTATTTTAACATAAAGTAACATAAACTATAATATAACTACAATTTATCTACAATGTTTACATTACACATATCTTGAGTATAACACTGCTTTTATTGGCCTTTTCTCCACAAATATCTCCATACCTTCTACGACTAGATCTTTTAACTTTGAACTGGAACTTGTGCATCACAGAAAAGTGCTTTATTGCAGCAGCTACAGTTTGTTTGTCCTGATAAACTTGTCCTTCTTCAGTAGCAGTTTGCGTAGATTCTGTTATTATTCACTTTGATATTCCTCTATAGCTGGAGATGATGGCATATCAAGTAACTTTATGGATCCAGATGAACCTGCATCAAAATAAAGATAAACAGTGTACTTATAATTTTGTAGAATATTTGTAGAGATAGTGAAAATTTTGTAGTCATCCATTTTTAGGATGTCAGCCATTATAGTTAATTTCTACTATAACTGTTGCAATTGTAGTTTTATTTGAAGACAACATTTTGAAATCAACAATTTCTAATCATAATTGTAGTTTATGTTGTTTTATAAATGTACTAACTTTGTAGGTAATTTTGAAAACAACATTGCTTTATTATATCATTAAACAGATTTGTAGTTTAATTGTAGGTAGCTGTAGTAATTTTGAAGATAATACCGTAAAAACATAAATCTATGCAATTTACAACTATACAAACCTGCACTTGTGTTATCGTTGGTGATTGCCAATTTCATATTGAAATCTCGTACACTTATACATAACTGATATGAACCTAAGTTTTTATTCTCCTTTTTGGTCTCCATATACACACGAACCCCCATATCATTCCTAATCTCCATTGGGGGACAATTGTCGTTCACCATGTATTTGATTTCTACAATTTTTTCTGAAGTATCAATCGATAGTTGTTCTGCAATTGTAGAAATCAGAATACTGTAGCTTGCATTCTCATCTACCACAATGGCATCAACTTCAAAATCTCTAAATCTGCCATAGTTATCCCAATTCCCATTCAATTGTAGCATGATTGCGATTTTGGACATGATTGCTGATGTATTATTCTAAATTTTTTCGTTTTTTTGTATTTCTAGATTGAGAAAAAAAAAGATGAAGAACAGATTTATGATCGCCAATTTGTTTTCTGAACACGAACGAAGAACAAAATATACCAATGTTGAGTTGTTGAATCTCGAAGATTTGAATTCTACAATTTGAATTCAGTTTGCTGAAGCTGTTCGTAGTTTGTTGAAGCTGGTCGAATTTTTTTTTTAAAAAAAAATTTCGAATTGTATTCTAAGAGTAAATTACGCAGATGCGAAATCTCCTTTCCTTTTCAAAACTTGAAGTTAATGTAGAATCAATCTATCCCAAGATTCTTTCCTGATTTTTAGCACGTTTTTTATGGAATATTCTGTCCTAATTATTCATAATAGACGAATGGTACATGAATTGTAGGAAAAATGTGGACTAGGCGGGTAATTTAGATACTATGCACATATTTGGTAATAAAGTTTCATATATGGTATAGTAAGGAAAAAAATCCCTTAAATGAGTTCAGTATTGATAACTCATAGCCCGTTTGGCCAAGCTGCAAAATCAGCTTATTTTGAGAAGTGTTTTTCTCAAAAGTACTTTTAGTGAGAAACAGTTTGTGTTTGACTAATTAGTTTGAAAAGCACTTCTGAGTAGCAATTAGTGTTTGGCCAAGCTTTAAAAAACTACTTCTGAGTGTATTTTTCTCAAAAGTGTTTCTCAAAAGAGTGCTTTTGGAGAGAAGCTACTTTTTTCTGCTTCACCAAAACTGCTTCTGCTTCTCCTCAAAAGCACTTTTTTTCCTCCCAGAAGCTTGGCCAAACAACTCAAATTGAGGTCAAAAGTGTTTTTGGCCCAAAAAAAGCACTTTTGGCCAAAAATAAGCTTGGCCAAACAGGCTATCGGTCTAACGCGCAAGATTGCCAATGATTCTGATCTAAAATTTCTTGCCAAACTAACAATAAAGCCATGTTGGATGAAACTGGAGGAATGCTCTTTTACGCTATTTAGACTAACAAAACAAATCCATATTTGATTTTTAACTTTGTTATTATTATAATTTATAATGTAGAGCCCGAACAAAATTAGGTACGTATATCATTTGCACCATGGTTCGCAAAGAGAGGAAATCGAAATACTTTAGGCCGAATGATTTGTTAGACAGTTATAAAGAATACAAAAAACTTACTACTATAAATTATTGATACGCGTCAGTTCGAGTGATGAAATTGCCATCTAGTCTAGTCTAGTATAACATTACATGCACCAAAATCCTCCATGTTTTCAATCTTGAAGTAGTTGGAGAGTCTCTTCTTCTGTCGGGTTGTCTTTCCCAGCGGGGACCACTGCCAGCTTGTCAAAAGCTTTTCCTAATCCCAATAGCTATCAACTGGGAGTTTATACAAAATTAGTTACTCCCTCCCATCTATAATAAATAATCAATTTGCTTTTGACATACCTGTATAGGTCCAAATTTGAACGATCACAACCACTACTGAGTACGGCGAGGAATGAGGTCCTTATGATGTAGCGTCCTTTGGTCGTTATAAAGGATGACGACCGACAGTGGTTAGCGAACGTACGACATCTGCAGTAGTATAAGCGTAGTAGGAGACATTAGGAATATGCTTTTCGAATATTCTTTATGTTATACTTTTTTAGGATTTTAAAAGGGGATTGTCTCTTATAAATAGAAGGAGAACACTTTGTAAAGGGGGATCAGAGGGTATATACAAAAAAGACAACTTTGCTTACTACAATTTCAAGATCCATACATCATCCTTTATCTTGGTCAATCGCATTCATTGCAATATTTTTCTACATTTGAAGTTATCACATTTATGAGTAATTATTCATTTCCGACATACTAGAAAGCAATATTCACCTTGTTCATCTCTTGCATCATTTAATCTAGATTTTATTATACTTGGCTGATATTTACCCCTTCATCTTTATTAATTAATTTAATCAAAAAAGTTTCAATATCTTTTGGTCAAACAACACCCATTGAGGAAATACTAAATTCTAGACGAAAATAGTTAGTGTGATTAAACTACCCTTCATTAAATGTTGCACCATAGTTATAGTAGCACTTACTTCTCTTCTCAAATGTGAGGAGTAAATGACTTTTTAGGGATACGTACATAAGGGTAATTTTGAAAAAATAAATTGAATTTTTTCTTGATTATATAAATGGACACTTATTTTGGACCAAAATAAGAGCAAATTAGTCACTTATTGTGGACCGGAGGGAGTAAACTCTACAACACAGATCACACATTATGTTCAAAGAAAATATTTCAAATCTGAAAGATTTTCTCCTGTACCATGATTTTCGTTGTTGCCTTCGGAGTAGATGTATTTGGCGCGTAGAAGGAGAAATTATGGGATGACAAAATACCAGACGCCCCAAAGTTGTTGCCAAAACGGGATGTTGGTCGATTCATCGAGCAACCATACAATGAAGAAGCGACCCCTACGCCATTCCAAAGAACTCCAAAATGCCGCCCTACCTTAAGATATATGATGGTTCTACCGATCCAGAAGATCATATCATCCACTACATCACCGCCGTAAAAGGTAACGATCTTTCAAAAGAGCAGGTACCATCAGTGCTACTGAAAAAGTTCGGCAAAACCATAACGGGGGGGATCCTTGACATGGTACTCTCAACTACCGGCACGTTCGATAGCAACGTTCGAAGAAATGGCAGACAAATTTGTCATCACCCATGCAGGAGCCAAAAAGGTAGAAGCTAGGGTAAACGACATATTTGCCGTAAGACAGGTGCACGACGAGGGACTCAGGGACTTCTTAGCTCGGTTCAACAGGGTGAAAATGATCTTGCCGAATGTGTCAGAGGGAATGGCAGTAGCAGCCTTCCAGAACGAACTAAATAGGAAAGGGTCGAGAGCGACCCGAAAATTGCTAAGTAGGCTCATGAAATACCCTCCAACCACTTGGGAAGAAATCCATAACGCCTATTGCGCTAAGGTAAGAGCCGACGAGGACGACCTCAACGATCCGACCCAACGGTTGACGTCAATTCAAACTGAAGCAAGGAAAGATCATCGTAGCGACGATCAAAAAGATCAGTAGGGGCCCCGTCTCGGCAGAGAAAGGCATCAGCCCTACGTCAGGACGTTTGTCCCGCCTCTACCGCGGCACACAGATGCTCCTTCTCGACTTGCAACACCATATCGACATGAGAAAGGTATGCCTCCGCTCCTATCTACTCACAATTTTTGTGTTTCTCCTTCAGAAAAAGTGTACGAGAAACTCGGTACAAAGGTGCAATGGCCGCAAAAGATGAGGTCCGACCCCAGCACTCGGAAGTCGAACGCTTTCTGCGAATTTCACCAAGAAAGGGGTCACAAAATCGAAGATTGCATAGGACTGCGACAGGAGGTGGTGCGAATGCTAAATCTGGGACACCTGAAAGAATTGCTAAGCGATCGAGGACGGGCTAACTTCGCCCGCGGATGCGAACAACCCAGGGACCTCTCAAACTGCCTTCTCTTGCTCGCACAATACAGACGATCATCGGCGGGGGCGATGGCGTAACAATCAATCATGTCAAGTTCACCACCACACATAAACTCAAACGGCCAATCACTCATGAACGGTATGATGACCTCGAAGATAGTATCATCTTCAATAAGTCAGATGCCGACGGTTTGTCTTTCCCTCATTACGATGCTCTTATTATTACTTTATGTATTGCAAATACTGATGTAAAAAGAATAATGGTAGATGACGGGAGTGGCGCGTCTATTATCCATCCTCGAGTCCTCGTACAGATGAGACTCGAAGACAAAATAATACCGCGTTACATAACACTAACAGATTTTAATAATGCAGTCGAGCGGACTTATGGAGAGATAGTGCTACCCGTCCTAGCCGGAGGAGTCATCCTGGAAATGACATTTCACGTCATAAACCAAGAAACAGCCTGCAACGCCATCATAGGGCGCCCGTAGATACATGCTATGGAAACGGTCCCGTCCAGTCTCTATCAAGTGATCAAGTTTCCTACTCCATGGGGGATATTCAGCATCCGAGGTGAGCAACCACCGTATAAGAATGTTATCGCATCGCCCAAGATTGCGCCCACACCAACAACTGAAAGGGGCAAATGCAGAAGCATAACAATCATCGGTGTCGAGAGCCGAACTTGACGTACGAACAGACATTATTAAGGACCCCGACATCGTGGAAGAATCTGAGTCGACGATAGAGGATCTTGATTCCATCTTGCTAGACAGCAATGACAACACAAAAAGGCTTATATCGGGCACAACCTCTCGGAACCAGGTAAGTTTCATAAATTCTTGACTGACAATGCCGATTTGTTTGCCTTCTCTCAATGTCGCAATCAACGAAGCCATTAGTGAAGAAGTCGATAAGTTGCTCGCAAATGGCTCCGTCCGAGAGTCAAAATGTCCCTAGTGGGTTGCCAATGTGGTCATGGTAAAGAAGATAAATGGAAAGTGGCGTATGTGTGTAGATTTCATAGACCTAAACAAGGCATGCCTAAAAGACTCCTTTCCATTGCCGCACATCGACCAGCTCATCGACGCAACAACATGACACGAGTTGCTAAGCTTCTTAGATGCCTACTCGGGTTACAATATCCTAATGGAAGAAGAAAACCAGGAGAAAACCACTTTCATCACTCACCAAGGAACATACTGCTATAAGGTCATGCCGTTTGGACTAAAGAATCCAGGGGTGACGTACCAAAGGTTGGTCACCAAGATGTTCAAAGACCAACTCGGTAGAACAATAGAAGTCTACATCGATGACATGCTAGTTAATCGAAAAGGAAAGAAGATCATATCGATCATCTGAAGGAAGCCTTCAACATATTGAGACGGTATGACATGAAACTAAACCCCAAAAAATCCGCCTTCGGCGTAACCTCAGGTAAGTTCCTCGGTTTCTTGGTATCACAAAGAGGCATCGAGGTCAACCCATATCAGATTAAGGTCATCGAAGGAATACCTAAAAC